AATGGAATTTTTCAAGATTGTTTACGAGATATTTGTGTTGTTGTTAGCGCTTGCTGCTATTTTCAACGATATAAAGACGCTGTCATTTAAAGATACAAATATAAATTTTTATGTACCGCTTTTATATTGATTGACTGGGCGCTTTCAAATAGTTATGAAGTTTATAAATGCGACAATTTCTGTAATTTGAGAATTCCATGGCCAAAGAGAAATAGATTTAAAAATAATGTTGCGGACCATTTACTTTTCTCATAAATATTCGTATTGTACATACAAATGTATTTGTATACACACGTGCATTTAACTCGACAACTAATTGCTTATTGTTCTGAGTGTACTTTGGAATATCGCTACAACAACAAATACACTTAAATAAAAATAGACAGCTTCCTGCTGCATTTATATTTAGACAGATGATGAACCAAAACTGACCTCTGTTACGCCAATATCAGTTTTGATTTGTTCCAATGGCGTTGTACGCCCACAACTGCTTGGTGCTTATTAAATAGGCCAATTAGGGGGACCGGAAATAGTTCGAAGCTGCAGCAAAAAAAAAAAAATTGATTAGTAAATATGTTAAAGTAAAAACTGAAACCGAATAAATAATTAAAAGAAAGAATAAAAAACTAAGAATAAAAAATTACAAAAAAATATATATAAAAATAAAAAAATCCAAAAAAAATTAAAGAAAAAAGAAAAAAAAAGTTAAAAAAATTAACAAAGTAGAAAAAAAAAATAAAAAATAAACAAAAATAAAATATAAAAAAAAAAAAAAAAAAAAAAAAAAAAAAAAAAAAAAAAAAAAAAAAAAAAAAAAAAAAATTTAAAAAAAAAAAAAAAAAAAAAATAAAAATAAAAATAAAAATAAAAAAAAATAAAAATTAAAAAAAAATAAAAAAATAATGAAAATTAAGAAAAAATAAAAAAATAATAAAAAATAAAAAAGTTTAAAAAAATAAAAATAAATAAAAATAAAAAAATAGAAATTTATAAAATAAGAAATCGAAAATTTTAGAAAAATTCTAAAAATAATGTAAGATAAAATTAATAAAAGAAGATAAATATATAAAAATGAAAAATTAAAGATGATTAAGAATTTTCGATACTAATGATCTACTAAGAATCTTCGATAATAACGATGGCTATAATATTTATTATTAAACTTTATCTAATCGCTCAAAAAATAATAAATATAATAAAATATATTCCATATTTTTTCGATCAATTATAATATTTACTTTTCGATAACGATTATGCTTCGAATTTTATTTCTTTCATCAAAATTATTCTAATTTTTTACAATTGATTTTTGAGTTTTAATTTTCTGTTTGAAAATAAAAACTGTTTTTCGACCAAACTTTTGCCATTCGAAAGTAAAAATTAAATTATTTTTTAATTTTTAGTTTTTTGATCACAACGAATCGCCCAAAATGTTCTAGGGCCTTTCTAATATATGGCAGATGGTAAAATAATTTTGTTCTGTAGTAACCAATGAAGGCACTTTGAATTAACATCAAATTTAAATGCATACATATGTATGTTAGATTATTTCCTTAAGGAGAATGTTAACAAAATTTGGAAAAATATTTTGCAATATAACTCAAAAGAAAATCGATAATTAAAAAAATCAAAAATAATTATTACTTTCGATCCCTGATAAGAGGAATATACTTTTTTCTTTAAATAAAAAAATTAATACATTTAAATAAAAATAAAAAAATTAAAAAATTATATTTGATCGAAAAAAATATAAAAATAAAACAATAAATAAAATAAATTAATAAAAACTTAAATATAATATAAAAGCAATGAGTAAATTAAAATTAAGTAAAGCAAAATAAATATTTTGTAAGCGAAGAGAGAAGATTTTAAGTTTTCTAATTAATATACAGCGAATTTTTTTGTCGTCCCCCCCTCTCTATGTTTGTATATGTATTTGTATATTCCCTATAATATTTTCCTGATACTCATATACATATATAGTTTGGCATCATTGCATATAGTTTCACTGACGCTGCTCTGAGCTCTGATTATTGCTATTGTAAGTGTACGTTTGGTTTTGTTGTTTTTGGTTGTATTAGCTCGTTATTGTTTTTTTTTTTATTTCGGTCGGCGACGAGGCGATAAAATCTCTTCCATTTGACTTTGACACTGAAATTAAAATTGTTGTGAATTCCCGGCGTTTAGATTTGTATGTACTTTTGTACATTTGTATGCTGTAAATATATTTCTTAGCAAGTTTAATGATGCCGCTGCCGTTAAGTTTATCTATCTTCTATTTATATTTTATGTTCCTTTTTTGTTTTTCTCCTGGTATTCTTAGGTTATGGTTTTATGGTTTTATTTAGTCAGTAGCGGTTTTTGGGGAAAGTGATTTTGTTTGACGTACATATTGTATATATATATGTATATGTATATATACACACATGTACTTAAATTAATGTTTTGGCTCGCTGTTTTTATTGACGGAAATGAGAAGTTGTGGGATTTTAGGAATTTTTATGATTTACTCTAGAGTTTATTATAACCAGTATTATGTGGTTAATAATTTCAAAACTAAGAGAATGACGAAGATTACTGTTTTTTCTTTTTTTTTTAGCAAAAATTGCTAATGAAAGTTGTGTAAATTTTCCAATGAATTCATTGTCACTATCAGGTGTACAACTTTGCTTCCGCCGTTTTTTTTTTTCCAAAATTAAAAGCTTTATTGCGAAAAAGTGCTTACAGATATATTATTCAAAGTAGTGTTCTTCGCTAGCGACAACTTTCTCCCATCTTCCCGACAATTTTCGGACCCCGGCTCGAAAAAAGGAGTCCTCTTTTGACGCTATCTATGAAGCAATCCATTTTTCCAATTCTTCGAAGGATTGAAAATGTTGATCTGCCAGGCCGTGTGCCATCGAAGCGACATCTGAGGAATACGGCGGGTGGGGCAAACCTTCCCATTTTAGCGTTTCCAGGTACTTTTTGACCACTTTTGCGACGTGAGGCCGAGCATTGTCGTGATGGAGGATGACTTTGTCATGTCGCTCTTGATATTGTGGCCGCTTTTCTTTTAGCGCGCGACTAAGGCGCATCAGTTGCGTTCGGTAGCGATCTCCTGTGATGGTTTCACCCGGTTTTAAGAGCTCGTAGTAAATCACACCGAACTGATCCCACCAAATACAAATCCTAACTTTGTTTGTCTTCGACATCGAAATCACCATTTTTAAAACGTTGAAACCACTCCCGACACGTTCTTTCACTCAGAGCAGCACCGTAAGTTCGAGCATTCGATGCGCTTCAGCTGCATTTTTTTCAAATTGTAACAGAAAAGAAAAACTTCCCGCAAATGACGAGAATTAGGCACATAAACGGGCATTTTCGAGCGTGAATAATACGAAAACAAGAATAACTGTCACTGAAACGGCGATGACAATTCGTTAGGCACCGTCCACACTCACTTTAAAGGCATTATCATCTATGTATTTATATTATTATACATATATATTATATGTATAATTGGCGCTTTGTAACCTCTGAAGCGATTTTCGTCCTAGCTTCTACTCTAATTTGTGGTATGCGTATTGATTACATTACATGGCAGAAAGACACTCGGAGTGCTCAACATTCCCAGCCGAGCGCCAAGCGCAATTAAAAAAAATAAGTTTTCTATAATTTTGAATATTGGTTGAACCAAGACTCGAACCCTGGCCTTCTAATGAAATAATTTTGAAAAAATTTTTATTTGTAAAAGCTATACATCAAACTATTTATAGATCTGTATATCTTTTTAAGAAGTATCTGACCTCTGTCTGTAGGAGTTGTTGTTGTAGTGGTGGTTAGCTAACCCGGCTTAAGAACAGGCTAGATCAGTCCACGTCTTCGTGGTCGTCTAACGGCAGGTCTGGGAAACGAGCTGTTTCGACGTGTTCGGACAAGAGGGAGAGTGGAGCTGGATGATTTGGTTTTAGTGGGCATACAACCACCCCTTTGCTGTTAGTCTTGTGAGGAGGCTAGACTAGATTCATGCAGTACATAAATGAGGTACATAAGTCGGGGTCGGGCTTGGATAGGTAGGAATTTAATATGCTGCAATATCCAGGTCTGAGTGGTGTGATTTCGAGGACGTCATTCACAAGGTAGAAAGTTCGTGAACATGTTGACGGTCTGAGGGCGGTGTTTTGGCTGGCTTGTATTATATCTTCTACAACTTTTTCTCGTTAGTACCCGCGCCCTGATCGGTGCAGCATAGTTTGCGACCGGCCGGTCAATAGCCATGTAGGTTTTCAGCAATTTTTCTTCATCTTTTTCCCAGATGCTGCCAGCTAACACTTAGGTAAGACTTTGTGTTCAGCGGTTCTGTTAAGCATTACTAAATGAAGTTCATATAGCATTATATATACTTCTTGAGGTATTTCATAAAATTTTCGGTGGACGACTCTTCTTAGAATCCTTAACTGGCAGCATAGATGTCTCGCAATATAGATGAAGTACATGTGACATCATGGTGTCTTACGTTTCGGTCTTCAAGGCGAAAATATCTTCTATGCAACAGGTCACGGTGGTGGTTGACGAGTTCTGTGTGTGATTCTTTTTCAATGAGTTTTAGGCTGCTATGCTGTACTTCATCACATGTTTCGTTGAAATTTTTGTTGTCGTTGCTTTAGTGATTATTTGGCGATGCTTTAGTCTTATGCTGAGATAGACTGACCTTAGTTTCGTGGATTTTTGACTCCATTCTAAAGTAACGCGCACTTAGATGCTCTTCAATAACTATTTTATACCATTGCCCGCAAAGGATAAGTGGCAAAGTTTTCTCATAATTAGTAAAGAGGATATTATAAATTGAGTGAGTTTTCTTGAGTGTCAAGTCCTGCTAAAATTGATATTTTTGTTCAGAAGTGTTGCCAACTGGGTTTTCCATTTTTCTGGTAGCATAGATATCTTGTACCTGCTTTCTAAAGTACTTTTATTCTCCTTCTAGAATTAATTTTACAAATATAATTTTGTATTTTCAGATTCTCATCAAAAAACCGAAACAACAATTGAATGGAGACATTATGGCTAAACTCAAAATTTGAACTCGGACCTTTAAAATCAAATCTTCGCTTCAAGTTTTCAATGCGTACAACGGCGTTGAGCTAAAATTAAACATAAAAGTAAAATAACTAAATAATCCTACACAACTCTATAAACTCGATTTCACTTAAAAGACGTTCTCACTATTTGAGACGAGTCGCAATTAATGCCCGGAGTAGGTACCGGGCAATACTGGACATGTTGGAACGTCGACCCTTATGGGGATTAATAGTGTTGCTAAATGTATGCTTCGTAATATGGCGAATGCAGGAGCCCGCATTGCTCAGTGTCGAATACGACGGCAGCGGCGCAGGCAGCGTTGTGAATTCACAGCCGAACTACGAAGGGCAACACGCCTCGCGAAACCACCAACAAATAGGAGACAAACAGTTGCAACCAATATGGCCGCCACGGCCGAAGGATTTAGCGTTGCGTAATGCCAGAGAACCGCCGCAGCAGCATCAACAGCAACAACTATACGCCGGCAAACATTTACTAGCCGAGAGCGCTGAAGTGTACGAAAGTGCTGTAAAAGTAACGCGCAAAGCGGACGATGATAATAGTCTTCTACATATTAGTGGCCACATTAGCAGTAGTACCGGTACCAGTACCAATAGCATGAGTAGCAGTAGCAGTAGTAGCAGTAGATTCAGTAGTACTAGTCGTAAGAATAAAAGTAAACAATTATTTAAGGAATACGCAACGACGAGTTCGAGAAAAAGTACACCCTCACCACTAGTCACTGCAGCAACGTTGCGTAATAATGCCGATTTGCCAGCGACGACGACATTAAGTGCGCGGGCGTACACATTTCCACCGGATGACTTCCATCAACTAATCGATCTGCACGACTTTACGTACCTTATAAACCAAAATGGCTGTAGTCGAGATATACAAGCGCTCATACTAGTGCATTCGGCGCCCGCCAATGAGGAGAAGCGTCGTCTGATACGCGATACATGGGCCAATACGGACATACTGCCGCTGGTGAACGGTGTAATGCCGTTGAGAGTAATCTTTCTGCTCGGCACGGTCGACAGCGAAGCACTACAATTGGATATAGATCGTGAGAATTTCGAAAATGGTGATATTGTGCAGGGCTCTTTTGTGGATAGCTATCGCAATATGACCTACAAACATGTGATGGCCTTCAAATGGTTTCTCTACAATTGTGCGCATGCGCAAATCCTAATCAAAGCCGATGATGATGTGTACGTGAATACGCCGCAATTGCTCATCTATTTGGCCGGTGTGAGTACGGCGGGGAGTGATGGTCCGGTGGAGGGGGTTGCAAAAAGAACCTCATCCGTGGCTGCTGCGGATGCGCTTGCTACTGCTGCCATAACAACAATTCAACAAAGTACCGCCGATAACGATAGTAGATCATTTGAAGACCATACTATTGAAAATAGTAGTAGCAGTAGTAGTAATAGTGGTACTAGTACGAGTAGTACTAGCAATATGAGTAACAGTAACAGTTCGCACGCTAATCAAAGATATGGCGCCGAGCTCAAAACACACTCAAAAAATACTACACAATTTAATGCTGCGCAAATGTTATTCCGTCATCCACACGAGCTGTTGTTGTGCAAAACCACACTAAATGCTATGGTCAAACGTAGCTATCGCTCCAAATGGCGTGTTTCGGCGCACGAATTCCCCGGTCGCTATTATCCGCCATATTGTCCGGGCTTCGCCATTATCTACTCGCCAGATGTAGCCTGGGCACTATACAATGCAGCACAAAAATCAAATTACTTCTGGATCGATGATGTACACATAACGGGTGTGCTGGCACAGAACCTGAGCATTGCCATTACAAATGCTAAAGAATATATACTCTACGAGTCTGATTGCGACGATTTGCTCAATGATGTAGTGCGTAGTGATGATGTGGAATTCCTATATGCCTGGCATCTGATCAATCCACAGCAAATGCAAAAATTGTGGGAGTTGTATTTGGCTAAAGCGCAACGGTATTTCTCGGTTGCGCCAAAGTCATGGCGCTGGCGGCGTGGCGCGACCAGACAGCAGACATCATATAATCCGACTGATTTCAATAAATTTAAGAGCTACAGATAGTGACATTAAATGTAGGCGCATATACAATACATAGGAGACATAAAAACATGTACATACATACATACATATATATATATAACAAAAGATATATGCATTTTTAATAAATGCATATTTTGCAGATATGCACACAAGCTTACTTCATATACTCCAAAAGAAAATGTACATCATACAACACTTACATATATACATAAGAACACATTCATTTTCACACTAAAGCGCTTATATGCATACATACCTACATACGTATTGTAAATGCTTGAGTTTAATACTTCGTTTTTATTTTTATGTTTTTTTGTAAGTATTTTAAGATTATTTGAAAAAAGTGTTTTTTATTTATTTTAACAAAAAAAATAAGATCATTACCTATATTATAATAAAATCGAAATATGTGTGGATATATGTAAAAAGTATAGATTTAATATAATAAATTATTGTAAAAAGCTATTTAAAAAGGAAATAATAAAAATTATAATATAAAAATGTTATCCTTTCCAAGACATTATCAAGATTTTGCACAAATACATTCATATCTGCATACATGCATAATTACATATACACATAAAATACATATACTCCAAATTTACAACTCATATAGTGCAAATGTTCAACGTCAAAATAAAAATTATAAATAAATATGTAAATGTTTAAAATGCAAAAAAAAAAAGCAAAATATTTTTGAATATTAAATTGTGTAAACGCCAATGTGAGATGTGAGATATGAGATGTGTAATAAATAGCATACTGTGCAACGGTAAAATGATTAGAGATTTTTCAAAAAAAATTAAAAATAAAATAATAATAATTGTAGACCAATATAAGCGTACGAAAGTGCAAGTAAAGTGAAATTTTATAGCAACAAAGAGAATACAAAAAAAATTATAATTTGAGTTGGTTTTCCTATTATTTAATAGTGTTTGTTTTTATACAAATATTTTTATGTATTAATAATTGTATGTACTAGTAATATACATATATATTATATATTGATTAAAATGCATAAATACATACATAACATACATACATATGTATAAGCTTTAAGAAATTTACATATAACTAAAGGCAAGTGAAAAAGGCATATAAAATTTAATTTAATAACTTAAATTCTTGTGCTTATTAATTGCACTTAAAAATTTTATATTAAAATGTTTTAAATGTATATCATCGTTTATATCATATGTATATGTGTGTTTGCGTGTAGAAAATTGTGAAAAAAATTTATTTCTTAACAAAATTTTCCTAAAATCAATACGTTTTAATTTTGTGCACTACTTCACAAGAAATTTAAAAAGTAATAATTTCGTAAATTTAAATAAAATAATTTTTTATTTAACTTATTTTTCTAAAGAAAAAAATATCAAATAAAGTAAAATTTAAATTGTTTCTTTTGTTCTACAGTGGGTTTTTTTTTGTAGTTAATTATAAATTAAAAACTTTCTATATTTACAGCTGCGAACACGAAAATAGCATTAGAAAATTTTCTAACTTACGAAACGTTGATTTTTACTTAATAATATTACTATATAAAACAAACAAAAATTATATCCAATCGGAATTAAATTGACAAAAATAAAATAATTATTAAAATCACCATTTTTCAACATTAAGGTGAAAAAAGCAGTAACAGCTAGTCCAAGGAAAAAAATTTGAAAGAATTTATTAAAAAGCCAAAACAGCTGCATCCACGTTTAAAAATGTTGCTATGAAATTTATGGTGTTAGAAAATATAGCATTTTAAATTCCGTACACGATTTTTCTTTTTCATTCATTTAAATTCAAATTTCTTTACAAATTCACTGAAATTTAAATTAACATTTTTTTCATTTTATTATCAGAAACATTAGAACTCGTTAGAAATTAAAAAAAAAAACACTAATTAATTAAAAGTGTTAGTGTTATATGAGTACTGTGCGTATAACTCAAATTCACTGTTATTTTCAAAGCTACTTTATTTTTCAAAGACTTCAATTCTTGCGTACATTTTACTGATCTACTACAAGTATATAATTTTAATGTGCATTCTTATATTTTTCATTTTGCTAAACCGTCATTGTTTCATGTTCACAGCTGTATTTATGTAATTTGGAAAGCTTCAAAATTATTTTCTTAATCAAATGTGCATAATTTGAAAATATTTATACAAATCGAAAGGGTTTAAAATTTCACCTTCTTTTTCATTTATTATTCCCTTGCTGAATTAAATTAAAAAAGAATTGCAATTAATTTTTTCGCTTAAGTTTACTTATAATAAAATTTTTGTCGTTCCTTTAAATTTTATTAAATACTCAAATACCAAGCAATATAGTATAGCATATATGCTTATGTTTTAGATAATTTAACTTGTTTTTGTTTTGAAATTATTTTCATGGTCATAACTGAAATGTAGATAGTTATTAGTAATAATTTTAATTTTTATGAATAAATGAATTTTTGCAAATTAATTGATGCCACGGCCACTTTGCAATTAAATTTTATTAACAACTAAAGGAGGAGTCATACCATTTACACTAAAGAATGAAATGATATTTAAAAGATCTAGCGTAATACGATTTTTTTTTTAATTTTTTTTTAATATATAAATATTTAAAATTTTTTAATATACTTTTTAATTTTTCTTTATCCTATGGATTATTTTGAATTTTCTTTTTAAGCCTGTAAATTTTTTAATGCTTTTCCTTTTTTTTAAATTTTACTTTAATTTCTGTTAATTATCTTAGGTTTTATTTATATTTCTAAAAATATTTTTTGTTTAATTTTTTTTTCGTATTTTTTTAATATTTTTGTTATGTCTTTTCCTTGATTTTCTTGATTTTTTTTATTGGTTTTTACTTTTTTCGATAATATCTTTATACCCTTTTTTGTTATTTTTGTAACTTTTTTGTTATTATTTTTTAGTTCTTTTGTAATTTTTTTTTGAATGTATTTAGTTATATATATTTTTGTATTTTTTTATTTTATATTATTTTAGTGTTTTTTTTAAGAATTTTTTGTTGATTTTTATTTAATTTTTTAAACTTTATGTTATTTATTTACTATTTCACTATAACTTTTATTTAATGTTTAGTTTTTTTTTTGATATTTTTCTTATTTTCTCTTTATGTTTTTTATTTTTCAGGGTTTTTTTTTTTGATAATATCTTAAATTTTTTTTTTTTTGTTATTTCTGTTATATTTTAATTAATTTAGTTGTTTAGATTTTTGAATTTTTTTAATTTCATATTATCATTTTAATAATTTTGTTATTTTTTGGTTAGTTTTTTGTTATTTAAAAATTTTTTTTCTAGCCTTTTTGTTGTTGTCTCAATGTTTATATGTTTATATTTTTTTCCTTTAGTATATTCGATTTTGGTTTATTTTTAATTTTGATTTACTTCTTTTATTTTTATTTTTTTACATATGTGTTTTTTTTTGTATTTTTTAGTTAATTTTTTTTATTTCTAATGTTTTTTTTTTGAACTTTTTGTTATTTTTAACATTTTCTCGCTATTTTTAACTTTTTTGTAATGGTTTATTTTTATTTTTTTTTTTTTTTGTAATTCGTAACATTTTTTCGTTATTTTTCTTTTTATTTTTTGTTGTTTTTAAATTTTTTTGCCATATTTGACTTTTTCGTTTTTTTTTTGTATTTTATTAATTTTTAAAATTTTTTTGTTAATATTAATTTTTTTTTTTTTAATATTTTAGTTTCATTTGTATTTTTTTTTTTTGAATCTCTATTTGTATATTTTTGTATTTCTTTCTTGATTTTTTTTAATTCATATTTTTATTTTTTAATTTCTGTATTTTTTTTACTATTTGTGAATAACGTTATTTTTTTTTAGTTTGTTTTTTTTTTGCTATTTTTTTAGTTTTTTTGTTATTTTTTATTTTTATTTTTTTTTTAATGTTTTCAATTCCTTTTACTTATTTATGTTTTTGTATTTTTTTTTTAAATAATTTTATATTGTTTTTTAGTTTTTCTGTAATTATTAATTTTTTTATTTTTTTTTTTGTAGTTTATTATTTATTTAGTTTATTTAATATTTTCTTAATATCTTTTTTTTAATTCTTTTTTAATTATATTTTTTGTTATTTTTTTGTTATTTTTTGGTTTTAATATCTTCAAATTTTTCTTTCGCTCACAATGAAATTCCGTACTTACAAAAATTTTATGCAAATTAATTTGACATATTCATGTTTGTACTCCATTTAAGTGAAAATGAAGAGAGATAATAGTAGTAGTAGATACAGTTGAACTGAAGCAACTCATATGTACCAAAATAATCTTAGATTTCTTATTTCTAAAAATGTATATTAAAAATAAAAATTAATAAAAAGTGGTATAAGCATTAGAAGTCGTTTAGCACAAGTGAGTGGCGTACAAAAGAAATTAAATTTAAAATGTAAAGTTTGCACAAAATGAAGGCACATATGTGCATACATACATACATATGTACAAGTATGCACCGCAAAAAAAAAAAAAGACGAAGTAAGAGTAAGATTTTTGAACCTTGCAATGAATTCAGATGTACAAGTTTGAAAAGATATTTAACAAAATACATAAATACATACATACATACATATATTTATACAAAAATAATGAAACTAAAAATCAAAGTCTATAAAAATTCGTATTTAAAATTGGATAAACAAAAAGAAAAAATTAAATAAATCATGTATTATATTTATATTTATGTACTATATGCATATATTTGAAATATAGTAGATTGTTTGTGGAAAATTCCAATATTTTAAAGCATATTAATTGCACATATTAAAAAATATATATATATAGAATACTTTAATATGAAAGAAGAGAAAACATCTAAATAAAAATGGAACTAGGATTTATAAACAAATATGAGTGTGACTCTAATTTAAAAAAAAAATATATATATATAAATGTATAGCTTTCTTTAATTATACTATGCGTTTTTAGTAAAATCAAAAGCAATTTGTTATTTTTTTTTGTTTTTAAATAAAGAAAAAAATTAATCTTTCTACGAATCTCAGTTGAAAATGGAAAACGAAAGTCAGTAATCAACTAATTTTTGTTAGAAAATGTGTTTTAAGAAATTTTAAATGGAACATAAAATTTTTGTACTTTAATTTTTGTATTTCATTCAAAAAAAAAAAAAAAAAAAATTTAAAACCAAATGAGAGAGATTGACATACCACAGAGAGCAAATGATAACGAATAAATCGAAGCACCCATTCAGGTACCTACATACATACATACATATGCACATGTATTATGGTATGTTAGGCAAAGAATCTAAGTACGTGCATATTTACATATGCCTGTTTGTATTATATGCAAGAATTAATGTAAAAGTATTTAAATATATATGTAGTATGTATAAACAAATTTTGTATGAAGTTGTAGGTTAAATAAGAACTTTAGCATCTCAATTATTTTATTTTTATTAATTCTTGTGTTTTTTTGTTTTGTTTTTTCTTTTTTCATAGAAACAAACATATTTACTTACTTAATTACCTATAACTTGAAAATTCGCTAATTTTGAGAATTGAACAGAGATAAAAAATTGGATGAAAAGAATATATATACATGAATAAAAGAATATACATAAATATGTATTTGAGGTAGTATTCTTTATTAATAGAAAATAAGTAACGCCTTACGGTAAGAAACATTCACAGCAAAAGTACTAACGATAAAAGCTTGTCCAAATTATTCTTCTCCAAACGCAATATATACGAGGTGTGTTCAAAAAGTATCGCGAATTTTGAATTTTCGCGGGTTACGTATATTCGAATTTTGATTTTTTTGTGGCGTTATGTTGGTACTCATGTCTGTCACTTATGCCGACAAGCTCGGCCATTTTGAATGTTCACTTAATTGTTGACAGCTGCTTTGCTTGCACGTGTTTTGGATGGTCTTCGATTTTTACCTATTCAAAAAAATCGATCAAATAACCTGTATCAAATTTTGTATGAAAAACGAAATTAAGTGCGCAGATGCATTCCGAATGTTGACTGTGGCATACGGAGAAGCTACCTTGGACCGAATCAACGTTTATTGTTGGTATAAAATGTTCTCAGAAGGCCGAGAAGATGTGAACGATGAAGAGCGGGCCGGACGCCCGAGCACCTCAACAACATACGAAAAAATTAATTGCAGGGGCGTGGTGCATCATGAGTTCTTGCCACAGGGTAGAACGGTCAATAAGGAACATTACCTGCAAGTTATGCGAAATTTGCGCGAAGCAATCCGCCAGAAACGCCCCGAATTTGTGGAAGAACAAAAATTGGCTTTTGCACCACGATAACGCCCCTGCTCACACATCGTTGCTTGTGCGTGACTTTTTGGCCAAAAACAACACACTAATGATGCCGCAGTCACCGTATTCTACATATCTGGCCCCCTGTGACTTTTTCTCGTTCCCTAAACTGAAGAGGCCCATGAAAGAACAACGTTACGCTACGATTGACGAGATAAAGACGACGGCATCGAAGGAGGAGCTGAACAAGATAAAAAGAATGATTTTTTGAAGTGCTTCGAAGATTGGAGAAACCGTTGACACAAGTGTATAATATCTCATGGAGATTACTTTGAATGGCACAAAATAGATATTCATGAATAAATAAATAATTTTGGAAAAAACACAAAATTCGCGATATTTTTTGAGCACACCTCGTAGTTATATACATAACCATATGCATACATTTAGTATGTATGTGCATATACATATGTATTCCAGCGGTATTGTTTTTTAAACAATTATACACAATGTTTACCTCTTATGGGATAAAACAGCTGTTTAGCTGTTCAGCGGTTCAACACTGAATTATTAATTCATATTTTGTATCGATTGGTTTTCACCTGTTGCCATTGTTTGCGTTGTAATTTAAAGGAATATTTGGCTAAACATACATAAAGGACTATGACAATGTCCTATAGTCCTTGATGCCGTTTTCAACCGTTCTCCGCCTCCACCTCCACCTCCAACCATACAAATCGATAAGCCGAAGTATTCAAATAAGCCGTCAAATGCTGAGACGGAATTATTTTCTAACAAGTAAAGAAGACTTAGTTCAAGTGGAAACGAAAATTAAATACTCCAGTTATATACGTGTAAGAAATAAGCTTATTGGTGGGTCCATGCCCGTGTTAATACTAGCCGTTGGGATTTATAAGCACCAAATTCCCTTTGATTGCGGTATGCAGTGCGTCAAAACGACATTCAAAGCTGGAGTGTAGCCGCACATACGAACTACACGAACAGTTTATTGTCGTACGGGCCGGAAAGGCTCTTCCCAATTGTGACGTAGCTGTGTTGTTTAGCGTCAGCTTGCACTATCTTATATATACATATTCATATATATATGCTTCGTGGTGTGTTGTTCCTAATGATTTGCCATTTAGATTGTGCAAAGAAGGCTTGATAAATACTATGGGAACTATGAGTCATCTAGTGTTTTAGTACATAAATTGGATGAGACCCGAGGCATCTCAACTTGAATATTTGAACTTTAAAAGTCAGTTAGGTTGTTGTTGTCGCATATCAAGTGTAACACCGAAGCACGCAAGATCAGTCTAAGTCATTCAGGTCCTCAAACCAGAGGGAAAGGGCGATACGAAGAGTTGAGTTTATGTGGGATCCAAAGAGGTAGTTAGTGTCGTACGGAGACCTATTGCATGCAGGACATACGTATAATATATCGCGGTCAAGTTTGGATATGTAGGAATTTTGTGGACAACAGTATCCAGATCTTAATTGCGCCAGTATTATGCGGGGGTAGTGGTTTGATCCCGAGCATGCTGCCAGTGGAAGAGAGTTCAAGAAAGTGTGGACGGACTCTCGCGGAATGGCGCTTAAAGTCTGTCTGTAAGCCGTTCTGTCCAGCGGTTCTTGTACATGGTGCTGAATGCAATCCCCTCATGATGTGATCGAATACTCCCTTCATGATATGCCTAGGTCGTGGTTCGGCTTCTAGTAAGTGTCTGTTGGGGTGCTCATTACGATAGCATCCCAGCAGATATTGCTTGCACAGTAAAGCATTAAGTTCCTTAACTCGTGTCATATATAAAATATGTTTCACAGTGATGCTCTGGCAACATCAGGGGGTTTCCTGTCATGGCAGCTTTGTAACTTCTTCATCGACGACATAATCCCATTTAAATCAATAGGTAACAAAAATCTGCTAGGTCAATGGCTGCCGTGATGGATCACACTCTTTCATAAGCACAACTTCTACGGCAATCAGCAATGGTTGGGGGTTCAAATGATTCCAGACAGCCATTTTCTCTGGGAGAGTTTCGAAAAGGTCAATCAAGCTAGCATCGTTGTATCGCAGAAAGCTGCTAGATGTGCACGTCATAGAGCTGGGCTACTTTTCTTCGAAACGTTTTTAAGAAATGCACAGATGCGTATCAACTCTAAATTCTCTTATGAGCACTCTTTGGCAAAAATTAGTAGACAATGAAGCTCAATAGTAGTGTAGCCAAGCGTGGGGTCAAAAATATTGGTTGCCATATCAAACGAAGTTCAAAATGTTCTTCGAAAACAAGAAGTAGGAGAATGTGAGGCGCTACTTTTGACATTATGACATTGAATCACTTCGCATCTCCCCTCCCTAGACACTTCCAAGTTCCCATTTTCATCAACTCCATTTGGCAATACTCCACTAGGTCAAACTTATGTCCCCTACTTTTGTTGAAATCCCGCTCCCTGGTCTACTGTGAGCCTACAACTTCTTTCTTTTTGGTATAAACATTGCGCTGTAGCTGAATTCTTTTAATTACCTGATAGCTCCAAAGAACATTTTGGTATAAAAAATTTATTTCAAGATACCCAATGCTCACATCGTCTCAGGGAAAGCAGCGCATAGACTGGTCTAAGCTAATTATAGAGCTGTGCGGAGATAAAAGAGAAAACTCATCTCTTTGGGATTGAATCGGAGTAGAAGTTTGGAGGCTCTTCTTCCCTAAATAAAGGCAGGATCAGGAGCACACTTGATGGTTACTTAAAAATATGACCATAGATAAACTTAAAAAGGAAAAAGTGTGAAGAACCCAGTCTTACGACTTCAGGCCGAGTGTGCACATTTGAATTAGTTATTTGAAAATTCGTCTTTTGTCATACCAACATTTTTATTTTTCATTCATTATTTATTTTATTTTTTTTTCAACTTAAATAAAAATAAAAATAAATTTTTTAAATTCATCTGCCACGAACTACATTGACCGCTGAAGAAGTTGCGCGTCGATATGCCAGTATCGAACACAGCCAGTATATTTACTGGCATACTAGTGGGCTTAGTAGCTGGCTATGCACTCTGGGAATGTGCGTCATCCTTCATACCGGCGTTACGCAATCAGAAAATAAAAACGCAAGGAACCATAAAAATGTCGTTGCAACCGTTAGTAGATGGGGAGTATCGCGAATCCGGACAACTCATCGATCTGTACAATTTCAGCTACATTATGAACCAACCAAGCTGCACAGCAAATATACACGCTTTGGTATTGATACATACAGCGCCGGGAAATCAGGATAGACGTAAATTAATACGACAAACTTGGGCTAATTTCGTCGAATTGCCCTTACATAAAAATAGCATACCCTTCCGTGTGATCTTCCTACTTGGACTCCCCGAAACGGAGGCGAATCAATCAGAGTTGGAGCGTGAGAATTTCGAATATGATGACATGGTGCAGGGCTCATTCGTGGACACATACAACAATTTGACATACAAACATGTAATGGCCATGAAATGGTTCCTCACCTATTGCAGCGATTCAAAAATACTGATTAAAGTGGATGATGATATATTTCTCAACACACCACAACTGATGATTTATCTGCACAACACCATGCTGCATGACCAGTTGCCGCAGACTGGCAAGGAACAAACGCCACCAGTGGAGAGTCAACCTGATCGTGGTGTGGCAAATAACAGTGAGCAGCCGCTAAAGCTGCTACTCAGAAAACCACGAGATGTGTTGTTTTGCAATCGTAAAGTCAATGTAACTGTCAGGAGTAATCCGAGTGATTATCCACACGCTATCTATCCGCCTTATTGTCCCGGTTTTGCCATTGTATATTCGGTTGATGTGGTGAAGCGTTTATATGCGGCGGCACAGAAGACCAAAGCTTTTTGGATCGATGACATACATATAACTGGTATATTGGCTAAGAAATTGGGAATCAGTATCAGACCAGCACAAGCTTTTACCACCATTTGTAACTCGCATCAGCCCATATGTAATAGTTTGTTGGAAGAAAGTGGAAGAGCGAGGAGAGAACGCGCAAATCTGGATCCAAAGGAATATTTATTCACACTGCAGCCGAAATCTTTTCAAATGCATACAATGTGGCAGATGCAACTTAAACGTCTGAAGGAGTATATATTGAAGAATATCCAAGACAGCGGTGCTCACATTGATGCGGTCGAGGGATAACTGTGGTAATTTTGAAGAAATGCATAGAGATTAAATTTGTATACATTGGAGATGAATAAATAATTTGAAGAAGAGTACGGTTGGTTTTTATACCCTTCATGTAATCAGCATTAAGCACGTTCGCCATAGACAGGAAAATATAGTAATTACTTAGAGCCAGGTCCGGACTATAAGGTGGGTGCATTAAGACCTCCCATCACAGCTCCTGGAGCATCTCGCGCGTCACCGAGGACGTGTGTGACCTGGCGTTGTCCTAATGGAACACGATTCGGCCTCTGTTGATCAAAGATGTCCTCTTTTGGATGATTGCTGCCTTCAAGCGGTCCATTTGTTAGCAGTAGAGTGCCGAATTGAGCGTTTGGCCCAGCTCATAGTAGATGATTCCTTGCCAATCCCGTCAAACACACAGCAAAACACCATCTGGGCCGCTTCCCCGAGCTTCGACCACGACCGTTCGCGCTCGATGTTGTCGTAAGTGACCCATTTTTCATCGTCAGTCACAGTCCGCTTCAGAAACGGGTTGATTTTGTTGCGATCCAGCAGCGATTCGCAGATGGAAATTCGGTCCCTCATGTTTTTTGTGCGTTAGTTCGTGTGGCACCCAAAAATCGAGCTTCTTTTTAAATTCAAGGCTTCTGCAGATGGAAGAAAAATTGTAAAATATAGCGAATTTTCTCTTTGCACAACGTACTGAGTCAATCAGTCGAAAAACTGTCACAGACAAACTCTTAGCGCGAATAAACACGTTTTTAGTGCCATATAGTACGACATGATGCGACACGTAACATTAGTGCTATGGACAATAACTCCATCTCTTAGGTAAAAAAAAACGAACGAATTTTTGAGCTGTCCAACTTCTGCCTGGTTATAATTGAATTCAAAATCAATTTAATTTTTCAATTTTGCTTTAACATTCAACGATTTTAATTTTACATACCTTCGCAACATCTAGCGGTCATGAGCTATAAGCGTTAAGAGAGCTTTGAGCTTTTGCTCTTCTGCTGTCAATGTTGCTAACAGTGAATGTTAATACATATGTACAGGGCAACTCGTACGTGGCAACTTCTCAAAATAGTATTACAAACGCATTCATATTTGAATTTTAAAGTTTTAGTTAATCGTAGCAACCAATGAATCGTTGGACTTAAAAGCTTTCTTAAGTAATACGTGGAAAATAATTAAGTAAGCAGTTTTTGTTCATGGGTCAGCATTGACATGATTTAATTAAAGCATAAAAATATTTCACTAAAACACTGTACATATATTGTAGTTAAAAGAATTAGCAAATGTACATACATATATGAATGTATGTATGTACAAAAGGTAATTCAAGATAATACTCAATTCTTAAACACGTTTCGAGTTTCATCTTACATTTTATCAATAACCATTTAAGCCAGTGGAATTGGAACGTTCTGTGCTGCGTCCGGCTCTAAATAGACACCCTCCTTGGCAAGTTAGCTGACGAACGAGCAGGACGCAGCATCGAATCTTCCTGTTCCATTCTAGGAAGTGAAGCAAAAGCAAGAGGTAATACTACTTCGTCAGGCGAATAGACTCTGGAAACGTGCTACGCGCAGCAGAATCACGAAGACTATGTGTTAAATATACCATACTATAGTCTCATAAATTTTGTACTATCTGTAAAGAGGCCGGACTCCAGTCTGCTGATGGGACTTTCAACATTAGAATGCCTTTTCTCGTCTGAGGACAACAAATGTCGGAAATGCAATTAATGAGTGGAGACAAAGGAGCACGTAATGTGAATGTCCGATACTCGGAAGACAAAATATACAGGACCTTGAATCGACAATTGCCAAGGGGGCAGAACAACTAATCAAATTCGCTTAAAAAACAACAATGTTCTTTACACTAGAGACACAATAAGAGTGTAGTAGTACAGCTTGGTCGCATGAACTGTGCCTTGCAATATTATGCAAGTATTTCATCTATGCGAGGCCCAATGGATCAGCCAGGTTAACGTAACCTAACCCAACCTTTGGGTCAATACCAGCGTACAATATAAAGCCTGATTGTAATTAACTCTGTTCGCTGTTCAGGAAAAATTGGTAACAACACCGAACAGATGTACGGAATGGCTTGAAAAGTTGTATAAAAAGTTCCACTTGTCAGTTCTATGTTATTATCCCATGTGGAATATTAGTCTAATATGGGGAACCAGCCAAAAAGGGAGAGTCATATTGGCCTATAATTTTCCTCTCCTCAGTGGCGAAGACTCTTACTGCCCCCGACGTTCACACGCCATCTGAGACCAGCAGCACATCAGTATGAGTTCCGAAAAGTGCACAACACCATAGCTGCACTTAACGCCACAAACTCTCAGGTAGTCAATGGTCCCACCAAAACCGGCCCTGTGGCGCAATGCAGCATTCAGTACTACTTTCGGGCATTGAGGAATCCTCATTATCACCGGGGTTGAAGAGCTGGATCATTGGCTATCTGAATTTTCGTTCATCATCGGTACAATTTCGAGATCAAACATCAAAACTCAGAAAGATTAAGCAAAGAGTTGACAGGATGGAGTCCTCTCCTCACTTTTGTTTAACTTTTATATCATGAAGCTTCCTCCTCCACCGGAAGTGGTTTCGCTGCTCTCATGTGACGATAAGTGTTCGATATTTGCTATCTCGACTACCTTTCCCGCTTCTTTACTACAAGACAACTAAGACTGCAATCCACAAATCCTCTCTTCATCAGCTGGACGAATGAGACCGGGCTCGAAATAAATGTGAAAATCGATGGCGTTAAAGTTCAGACTATAACCACCTCTATGCATGCTCCTCAAAACCAACCCCTATCCCTTTGGTCCGAATCCGTCGACACTGCTCGTTTCCTGGACTTCGCGCTAGATGACCTCGACTACTTAGACTGATCTAGGCTGTTCCTATGTGGGGTTGGTAAGCCGCTACCACAACAAAAACAGTCCGATAGTGTACATATGAAAATTTAACTTGAACTAATACGTGCATATGCATAAGAAAAAGAGAGTGTATTAAGCACATCCCGATTTTCGACCTCAATTCTTTTGCTAGTGTTATTCGTGGTGAGATCAAGATATCTTCTCTGTAATATAGCTTTATTACTTACAAGTATAAAATTTAGTAAAGACTCACCTCCACCGTTGGTAACCATACTCCTCCAGACTGTATAGTGTGCTTTGTCGTCGGCGCCTTTGACCAGGGACTGTAATTCATCCTTGCATCTTGTTACATGGCTCATGATAATTAAGTGCTTGAGATGAGCACCGACAATTGGTATTCGTAACTTATGAAGCAAAACCGTCCCTGGTCAAAGGCGCCGACGACAGTCTAGAGGAGTGGGGTTAACACTGCAGCGACAACTTTGTTTTTAGGTTGTTGTAAGTTTATTTGAAAAAGTTTCACTGCCACGATCAGAATTATTTTGATGACTTGTTCTCTTCTAGACTTTTCTCCACCTCTCGCTCGTCTTATAGCATCGCCGATCCACTTTCTTATTTTGATATGAAGGTACACCCTGTCTATACCCATACCGTCTTTTCGAATCTGGTATATAAGATATTTTAAGCCGACTTATTTATCTGGTGCATGTAGTTCTGTCCTCCGCCAGCTCTTACCGGAATTGATAACCTTCCACATTTTCCGATCCTCCCACACATCTGGATTTTGTTGTTTTAGTAGGCGACAACCTTATATTTTTACTATTGGGTTATATGAAAAATATGCTTTTTTAGAATTACCCTATTCATGGCAGTAAATATAAAGGTAACATGAATAGGGCGTTACATACCCAAACAAAAGTTTTAAAGCGATAATTCTTCTGCAGGTTGAACTATCAGAAAAATGTCTTAACAAAGATATGACCTAATTTATGCCTCATTAGCGTGAGGAGCGAAACCGAACTCCTATGTATGCATTGTATTTGCAATATACACATCGACTTGTATTTAGGTAAACATATGTATGTACGCGCAGTTGTACTGAATTCTGGATGATGCTAGAATGTAGCTTAGATCCATTTGAACACCTTAAAAGACTATTTCCATAATGGTATTCTGAGAATGAGTTAAGTTACCAGTCGCAGTCACTCTTCCATCGACTCCCACATGGTCTCTAGAAACTCTTCTTATCTCTTAATTAAACTGAACACAACTCGGTCTCGGACTTTTGTTCCTACAAGTTCTCGAAAAGTTGGACTACACAATGTTTACATTCTGTTTTGATAATTATGAGTAACAATAAACACAAAGAGGTGTGAATGGGGAAAAGGAGCAATAGTCATATATATATTTAGTACCTCAAAGTTATGTCTGCCAACAGTGCTGTGGGAGCCTAGTCGCGAATGCGATGGCTGTTTGTTTGTTGACAGGAGATATTTCGGTGTATCCTCGTCACCCTCTGACATATTGGCTTCGCTTCTTTGGCAAACTTTAAGAAGGCAGAACTAACTGCGTTGTTGTTAAAGCCTATGATATCAATCTCATCGGCGTCATCGGCCAGAATTTCAACACTTTTGTAAAATATTGTGTCTTGTCTATTTAACTCTGCAGTTCTTGTTATTTCCTTCAGCATTAAAGTGAAGAAATCTCGTGATGAAGAGTCACCCTGTCCGAAACCTCTTTTGGTTTCGAAGTTTTCGGAGAGGTCATTCCATAGCGGCGTAGAGACAGCTCCTTTTCGTGATGTCGAACGCTTCTTCAAAATCGAAGAAGGGGTGAGGCGTGTTGATCCTTTTTTCAGGGGCCTTTTCCAAGATTTGTCGCATGGTAAATATCTAGTCAATGGTAGATTTGCCATGTTTAAAGGTACTACCTTATATGCGATATTTAAGAGGTAATTAGAGCAGACTGTGGGGTCTTCTTTTTTGTGGATTTGTGGAATTCCAATCGGGAGGCAAGCTTTCGACCGACCATATTCTGTAAAGTATCAGCTCTTCATCGAAGGTTAGAATAGCCGCCGGCTCCAGCCGCTGTGTTGTTCCTTAACCGGGCAATCGCTATTCGAGTATCCTCATATTCGGGTAATGAAACGGCTTTTCCATCATCATTAATTAGGGTCTCGGGTTCACCATCTCC